CATCTTCTTTCTGCTGTCTCCTGCTCCCAATATTCTCCAAATTTATATCTTTACAAGACCTGGTTTCAACTATAGGTCTTGCTACTGGCTATAACCATTACACTTGGCTAGAACATTTGCTGAGGCAGTGAATTCCACAGATAGGCTGCATAAAATAGCATTTCTACACAAAATTTCCAAATTTACTGCCCTTTAATTTTACTGGTTAATGTTACTCTGTGAAAAGTTATACACTTTGTTATAGAATACTTGAAGCACTTATATTTTAAAAAGGCTATCATAACATTCTATAGTCATTAGAAATTAATTAGCAATTTATTCGAGTAGAAGACTAGCCCTGGTATCCTAGCTAACTTACTTTCCATTAAGCTGCAGATCTCCAGTATTGTTCACTGAACAAGACAGACTTCATTTTTTTTCTTCAGCTTGATGCTTTCCAGTGACGGCTGCCCTTCTATGATGGATTTAACTTTTCCTGTAACTTTCAGTTATTTTTGAAAGATGTTTAGCACAAAGTGTCAGGGTGTGGATGTGTGAATTGTAAAGCCAGCAGAATTTAGTGGATTGTGTCTACCCCTCTCATTAAGCGACTGAAAGACCTCCACTATGTGCTTGGTGATACTCAACCACTATGTTAATAGATAATATACCTCTAACATTATCTTTGAACTATGATGACTGTGTAATGAATGAGATACTTGCAAAATGTGCCAGACTATTATCCCTGGGGAAAAAAAAAAAATCTCTAAAGTAAAGCATGCATACCTCCTGTGGCTTTACCAATATGTCTTCACCTATGTCTTCTGAAGAACTAGAAGACATAGGCACAATAGTCTATTTGTAGAGATAGATAGACTTTTATTCCTTGGCCCCTACTGAAACTGCTGGTTGTAATTGTGATCAGCAAACTACGAACTGAAAATCCTGGTGTTATGTCTAAGAGATTGTCCTGATTTGGCCTTAAACGGTGACAGAGATTATCTGTATCATTGAGAGAAAAGCCTTCAACCAGACGTTGAAATGCTGTAGTCATTATAGCAATTAAGTATGCTTGGCAAAGGAAGAGCTCTTTCCCCAGTACACAAGGCCTATCAGACCACAAATACACTGAAATACCCTCTTTTCGTCATGACAGAGTGGTTTCTTTGACAGTACCCAGTAAGGCAAGGTAGTATCCCACTTTGCAGACGGGAAAGTTGAAACACAGTGAGCCAAAATGATGTCCCCACGGTGCCAGAGAAGGTATGTAACAAATCATTAGAAGGAATAAAAGATCCTTATCTCTGAGGATAAGGTGATGATGCATTAATGTTCAGAAATGTACCAACTTTCTCACTGTTGAGAGTAGTGAGATGCGAATGTTGAGATGTGAGCTGTGAAAGGTCAGGCAGTTTGACTCAGAAAGCGGAATTATTCCTGTAAATTAAAATCTGCAGATTCCTACCAATGCTGTGCTTCCAGCTGACCTAACAACATACATGCTTAAGTTGACATCAAGTTGCAATCGCCTTGACTACTGTAGCTGGAATATTATAATTCAGACCTACACTGGTTAATGGTCTTTGTTCAGGACTGTAAATTTAGAAGATGATACACCTTTTCTGTTGAGATTCATACAGTTAATATAAACACTTGGGGAGAAGTAGTGCACTCAGTGACCAGAGATCTGAGCTGTATGTCAGGAATTGTACTGTCCGTCCTAGAGGGGTAACCTATCACTGAACCATTTTCTGTTTGCTGTAGACAACGGTACAAAATACATTTTGCAGACCTCATTTTCTGCACTCAGTAGTGCACTAATGGTAACGCTCCTTCTGATCTTGTCATGACCCTCTGCAGCTTCTCCACCTCAATAGCATAATTAGGAAAAATCAGCTCTAACACCTAAGTTGCACTTGCAGTGAAAGCCTCCAGCTGCAGTCAACAGGACATGTGTGTGCATACACACGTGATTAATAGCTACATTTGCAGAAAGATGACAAGTTTCCAGGAAGCAGTTTCACTCGAACACAGGTGCAAGGTTTTTAATGGTAACTGCATGGGAGCATTGTTGAATTGACAACAGTCCATCTTGGACTTCTAGGATGCTTCCATTTTGGAGGAAGTATTTCCAGATATTTGGAAGGATACAATCTTAGCCAAGAATTAATGTTTCTTAGATGTTGATACATTGCTGTAACTGTTTTGATTAAGTCTATTTCTTTTTTTTCCCCCAACTTCTGCCAAGCAGCCTGTATCTCTGCATTTCTCCTGCAGATGTTTTTCAAGAACAAGCAGTAAGCTCACAGTGTACTGTCTCCTTATCAAAGAAGTTTTTTAACATAATTTACCAAATACCTAATGTTATATCAACACATAACATAAATTCTTGTCCCCTGTGGCTTAGTGCCACAATGTATGGAATAATCTTGCTTTCTACTAAAGAAAATGAGATGGGAGAGCACTAAATATAGGGAGTCCAGCAACAAAGAGAGACTCATCTGTCTGTCAAATACTGATGGTTTCTCTACATTTGAGAAGCTATCACTGTCTCTCCCTTTCATATTTTCTGTTACATATATGACTGGGCAATAAAAAGGAGATGAAAAGCTGACCTCCTAAATGTTCCGTCTGAGAAGTCCCAAATGCTTTGGTGTACCAGAATGCGGGTCTATTTTTCAGGACTAATTTGTGCTGATGCTAGCTGGTACAATCATTATGCAATTTTGCAGGCATTGGGAATAGCCAGAGTACACTATAGTCTAGTTATATACTTTATCAGGCCACGATGGAAACTTCTTGCTGTCTGGAAATTTCTTCATGCCAGGGTACCACAAAAGAAACCCTGACACGCACCTGAATTCTGTACCCGGAACCCTGGCGTTTGCTGTTTAGGATTCACTTGTGCTACAGCTTTGAGAAGTTCTACTTTTCCAGCTGACAAAAAAAATTGTCAATAGATAAATACCATACAGCTGAGGCTTTTTTATCACCATCTATCATAATTAGAGGGAAGTCAAGTCATCATTGTGTCTGCGTTGGTAAATTCTTATGACAGTTTTTCAAAGTCATCCATACTCATTGTTTGTGTCAATTGCTTTATATAGATAGTGGTGTTCTTTATAGAAGAGAGAGGATGTTAAGTCTAATTTCTTTACTTAATTCCAGGTTGGGCAGTTACATTTTGCCTGCCTGATTTCTCCACTGTGATATGCTTCCATCTTTATATACCATGATGTTTCATTCTCTTTAAAACACTCATGTTTTTCACACAAGAGGTGTCTATTGTTGGTCATATGGGATGAAATGTGGCTTGCAAATCATAAAGAACAATTAGTATTATTTATAAACTAACTGAACAATTCTACAAAAGTATTAAAGGGGAAACTGGTTAATGTGTTTATGGCATGTTAGGTGTTCAGGTACTCTCTTCTGACCACCAAATGTGTTAATCCTGTGAGAAAGGAGCTGATGAACTGTTTTCACCAAGACAGATTTGTACCTCATTTTTTAATGAGCCTCCTTCAGTTCAGTTGCAGTTGAAGGAGCCCTGAGATAGAGTTCTGGATTGGCCCATTGACTGTGGACTATTGCCAGACAAGGACTTTAGTGACTGTGCTTTGAAAGAAAAAAGGATAATGGACTTCCATCCACAAAGAACTGATTATATTAGATGTTACTCTCCTGCCTTGTCTTACTGAAGGTCTGAAATTCCTTTCGTAAGTTGTTATGAATCTTGAGTCAGATCGCCTCCCCTGAAGAGTGTCTCAGTGCCCATGTATGGAAGAATATTTCTGTTGTGATCACAATAAATTCTTAGGTTGCAAAGGAGAGAGCATTTTCCTGGAAAGAGAGGACAACATATGATAAAATTTTCAAAAGCACAGAAAACAAAGGAACCTAGGCTGCTTTATGCCTCTAGGTACTTTAAAGTCTGCAATTTACATTAATAAATCATTTTAGTACTCCTGAAAATGTTAACCACCATCTGTTTCTTTAATGATGCTATGTCTGGTTCAGGAGATAAGTGTTTATGAAAAGTAAAGAAGAAGGGACTCTAATATTTTTGATACCGTCATGAAAGTGAGATTCTATTAAGGTATCCAACAGCTTTCCAAAATTTTGAATTTTGAAGGAGATTTGAAGATAAAATAGTGCTTGTGTACTAGATGCTTTTAGGATACATACAATATCTTAGTGTGCGTTAGAGTTGCTCTACACGTAATACAGATTCTGGTGCTAAAACAATAGTCTGTCTGCTTCGTTTGCAGATGCTTGTAGCAGTGTGAAAGCCAGACCTATGCTCATGTCATTCAGTTTACAGTCTCAAATTCTCTGAGTATTCAGTTGTGTAGGAATCACATTTTGAAGGGAAGATTCAGTCTTCAAGGAGAGAAAGGAAGTCTGTGAGAAAGCTTTAGAAAACACTTGACCAGGTCAGAATATGGTGGCCCTTGAAAGGAGCTTCCTTAAAATCACACAGCTACTATGCTAGCTGTGGTAAACTGTGAAGGTCACCAGCACATTGCCAGGGAAAGATCAGTATTTGCACACAGTCACCACACGCTTCTCTCTGAGGTACGTGTGCCTGTGCTACACATGGGAAGTAAATGTGATCTGAAACGCACTGCAGCAATGCTTAGCAAAAACTAGCAATGTTTTCACTGGCAGCAGAGACATACATATGTGCAGTGGTTAGAAGTTTAGAAATCATAAGATGGACCCTTGTGGTGCTGTAAGTAACCTCCAGAAAGTGACAGTCCCCAACTTTGAGCATCCAAAGAAGTACTAGTATGGCACACAGTTGTATCTCAGCCTATATTAATGCCTGCCTGTAAGGAAACAGCTAAAGAAAAAAAGCAATCAAAGGAGTGGTCACATCAGAAAGAACGTACAGAAACGCTTGCTGTGATTATGTGTAAACCAACCACAGGCTCTGTTTACAAACCTTTCCATCTGTTCCTTTGCCTAATCATTTCTGCTTTCCCTCTCTGTCTTCTAACTTTCCTTCGTCTTTCCAGATGCAGGACGCTATGGGCTATGAGTTACCATGGGTGTATTTTGTCAGTCTGGTCATCTTTGGATCCTTTTTCGTTCTAAATCTGGTTCTTGGTGTGTTGAGCGGGTAAGCTGACAGTTTTGGTGTCCTTTTTCCGATGCTACAGGGCAAGACTCCATAATAAGGGTTCTTCCCTGTCACCAGGATTCTTTCAGAGGGATTAAAAATCTTAATCCAAGGAAGCTTCCCATCAACTGTCAAATATTTTGACAAAATGTTCAAACATTGCAAATAACAATACAGGTAACAAAGGAGGTTTTATTCTCTGACAAAGAAATTCAACCTCAGGGCATTCAAAATCACTAATGTCAACCTGTCATAAATTTCCAGAAAACTGGCTATTGACAAATCTTACTGCTGGTGACTTGGGATCTCTTTGGCTGGAGCCTTGCAGTGCTCAGAATCTGAGCTTGTCTCACTAATTATCATTCCACTCTTCCAGGTCAATGATGCCATAGGAAGGGACTGGCCCTGGATCTATTTTGTTACACTAATCATCATAGGGTCATTTTTTGTACTTAACTTGGTTCTCGGTGTACTTAGCGGGTAAGCAGTACCAGGAAAATATTTTATTATTGTTTATTTTTTAAAATTTGTATTTCTATTCCTACTTTCTGGTTACCAAAACAATGGGCAGTGGTGGGTTGATGTCAGGAACCTTAATAGAAGACCTAGGCTATTGCTGTGCCAATAGCGAAATATGGCATTCCTAATGGCATGGAAGGAGTCTTTTGACTAAATCAAAGGAATACAAGACAGTTCTTTGCCTATAACATGTTCCTCTACCTAAAATCTCTACCTATACTCTGAGGGAAGAGGACAATGCTATGCTCCCCCTGTGGGCAAAGCATAGCATTCACCATAGGAGGGGTTTATAGTAAAATTTTTTGAAGAGTCTGCAGGACTGAAAGAGGAATGAGAGTACGAGACAAATCCCTTCACATTTGTGGGATGAGATTCCAATTCCTGCCAAATTATGTCTTCTCACATAAGAAATTTTCATATTACTATATCTCTAAAGCACAGTCTAATGGGAGACTATTTCCCTGAAAAGTGTCTTGGGCACTTTTCTTCTTCAGTAAGCACATCTTCTCTATTTGCGGATTACAAGCCTAGCATGATGCAGGGAGAAAAGATCATTTCCCTCTGACCTTTTCTATGGATGAACAGAGAAGCAGGAGAACTCCTTCTAGTGTTTAAGTATTCCTAAGACATCTAGACATTTAGCTGTATTTCAGTTCTGCAGTATAAGCTGCACTGCAAAGCATCATTTTAGTAGCTTTGATTAAAAACAATTGATATTGTCCCTAGTAGTTAAAAACTTTACTACCCCTGGGGAGCCACATAATTAGAGGAATCAAGCCAGTGAACATTCCTCACAAGATTTTTTAAAAAAAGATCTCCTAGAATTAGGCTTCTAATTCCATATTTGGGCATGACTGGGTGCCTACTGCCATTCTATGTACATGGATAAACATGGTATGAGGACTTTTATGCATCCTCTTTTTCTTTCTTTCTAGTACCCTGCCTCCTTTAATGAGCTCTAAATGAATTTGCTCAGAGCCTGTGCCTGTTGCCTGAGTGGGCAGCCCTAAAATCCCTTGTCTTTTGATCATAAGAGAGGGAAAGTCATCTCTGAGCAGGAGAGAGGACTTAATGTCTTACAGAAAATATGTCCTCAGTACTTGGGTCAATCACATAGGAAGGGCAATGGTAGGACCAGAGAAGAAGATCCATCATTGGCCATCCTGCAAAGAGACAGGTAACAGCAAATCTACAGGAGGTATTACTACTATCTTCATTACTCCATTGAAAGAGACATGCCGCTAAGACAGCTGCTGCAAAAAGAAGGATTTCCAAGCAGTAATGGGAGTGGGAAAAAATCCCCAGTAATGAAGTGTCAGGCAATAGTCTGTGTTTGGATATCTGGAGAGTGATACTCTAGGTACAATTTTAAAACGTAAACTCCTCGTTTCTCCAGGTGGATACTCTGATCAGCAGGTAAGGATGTCAGCAGTAGTAGAGGATGATGACCAACTGACAGAGGGAAAATGATCTGTTTTATCAGAGGTGCTCTCAAGGACCATATAGGACAGTGGCTAAAGATTATATAGCATCTGATTGGATAAACAGTGCCTGTAAGCCCATCCCTGAGGAGTGCATACTGTTGAAGCACTGCTGATTCAACTCCAACACTTGGATTAGTGTCCATGCAAAATTAAAAGTTGAATTTCCTCTCTTTTGTTTTTTCAACTCAATAAAGTGTTTTGGAGCTTAGATCTTCCACCTCCTGACATACTGCAGCTAGACCACCACAGTTAGTGGTAAGAGATGGAAAGAGTCTGTAGAGAGAACTGAAATCAAAGATGACATTAACCTTGTTTAAGCTGTGAGTCACTCTTTCTGGCTGTGTTCACAGTGTTATGACAGCTACACTGTTTCTGCAAAATTTTTCCCAACTGGAGAAAAGTAAGAAGAAACTTAAGAATTTGCATCCATGAAAAAAACACAAATTATGAGAGAAATGTCCCACATTTTCTTTGGGCTAAATAAGCAGTTCTTAAACAATTAACTTTCTAAAGCAGTTCTAAATTCTGCTGAGTTGTAAAGTGTCTTCACTTTACAGATTCAGCTTTTTTTTACAAACTTGCTATTACTATTACTCTGATCTATGTAGATGATCCACCTGTCTGTTCTATGTAGATACAAAGCAGCATTCCTGGGCATCTTTGTATATCCGTTCTGGACATCTCTGATTACTTCTCATTCATCTGTTTCAGGAATTTCACCAAGCATGTTGTGTAGGTAGACTTCGTCAATGGCAGAATAGCTTAGTTTTTTTAATCACTTCTGAATATGTAAGCGTAATTAATTGTACTCACAAAGACACCTTGATTGCACCTGCAAAATCAAATGCTGAGTTCTGCTCTGCCTGAAGAACTCATTTGTAATTTGTTTTTCCTCAGGTATGTCATCCATTCATGTTCTTTCTGATGAATTTACTAGTCACATGCTAAGCTAAATAGTATGACAGAGTATTCATGTGTAGGGCTATAATCGTCTTCCTGTCTTGACTGAGCACAATATAAAATTCATGCATTCCAAAGGAAATATCCAGACAGCAGATCACACAGTAGACCTCCTCAAGCCCAGCCAAAAGGATTCCAAGTCATTGCTGTGAGCAGTGAAACCCCTCTTAGAGGTCTCTTGAGATCAGAGATGTTCACATCTGTGTTTTCTGTTTCAGTTCATTAGTGAGGAAAAAAAAATGGCAGTCTGGGTTCAACTTTCAAGCCTGCATGCCTAAGCATATAGATTCACATTTCTTTTGTAATTTGCCTAGCAGTGATCCAAATCTCAGAACACAGGCCAAACAAGCAGTTGCCTAGGGCAAAATGGAGGGCAGAAGAACAACTGTCTCTTCTGCTTTGAGAGGATCCTGGAAAACCCAGTTGGCTGCTTTTGATACTCCTACTGCCAAAGAAGAGGTCAGAGTGAATGGGAGGCTGACTATGGTTGCAGCTCCTCCTGGAGTAGTCTTTGTGACCTTTCAGGACTTTTTCCTAGTCTTCCATCTGCTCTTCCAACACTTCCTGTTCCTTGGTGTGCTTCTCAGGGCAGATGAGGTTTGGAGCCTCGTGCTGCACTTTTAGTAGTAAGCAAGAGTTTCGAACTGCTAGAATTCTGCTGGTTTGCTCACTTTCTATCAATCGTGTAAATGGAAGAAACCATACTGAGATCAGATATAGATTAAAATTGCCTATATCTCACCACCAGGATAGGCAAGAGAATTTTTCTTCTGTAAAATTACACGATACAGAGCTGGGTGTTTATATTTATGCTCTTGACCCACTCTAACCTCACACAGAGAAAACATGTCTCCAAAATACTCTGCTTTTTGGTATTCCCATTGGCAGATGTATCCTATAATTTTCTGGGACAAGTAAAGGAAAGTGAAGCAAACTGAATTCTGGTAAAAACAACCAGATTCACCAACTCAAACTTATGTTCTCTTGTTCACTGAAAAGAGACGGATTGCTTGGTAGTTCTGTGAGCCTTTGTTGACCTTATCCTGACATGATAGTGCAATCTTTTCTGAGAAGACCACCTCCAGACTCAAGATGGCACTTCCATCAGAAAGTTTATTTGATCCTTGGCCTCCCTGCTGAAGCTGCAATGACCATTTACTGCCAATTGCAATGGTGGCAGAGGTAACGTGAACACCTTCCTGCAACAGGAACTGGACTGAGGTCACCAACTCATTTCACATGGGATGGTAAATGACCGTTGATAGTAATTCTTGATCATGAACTACATTTGCCAGAGTACAGTCTGGCATTCTACATGGGAGTTGGTTTGAATTGCATTAACAATTTCCTGAGCCACCTGTTCTCAGTAGTTTAATGTTAGTAGAGCATAGAATTAAGATAATTTAAATAAGTTGTCATCTTTGGAGAGTCATCTGAGATATGGAGTATCATACATTTTACAAAAGAAAGAAACATGCAATTGCAGATTGTTTAGACTAGGTAATCACAGTATTTTCAGTTGTCCCATTAAAAAGCTAGGTAACAAGTTCACTCCTATGCAGAGGGTCAGTGTAAAGACATCATGCTAAAAATCTCATGTTGGTTTAGTCAGCTTTCCTCCCAGCCCAAGTCCCGTTTGAGAAAGACAGTAAGTGGGGACTGAAAAGACTCAAGTAGGCATGCCCCTTACATGCATCTAACATAAATGATCCACTTCAGTGCATCATAGGAACTTCACTTTCTGTAAGCTGGGCTGTTTCATGAAATTTTCCAGTTTGGTTTCTAAAACAACCCCTTGCAAGTTATATCCATGCAAATATAAATAGTTCTCACTTGGAGCTGAGGGCTCAGTCCCTTTCAAAATTGAACCCATTTGTTCTAGATTCTGAAATACCAGTTTAGGAGCCAACAGTTGAAATATTGGGATTTGATTTGTTGAACAGACTTAATAATACATAGTTTCATTTAGTGATTTTTTTTTCGGAGAGTTAATTCATTATGTTGGATAAGGCACTATGTCAGACCCAGAGAAAAGATGTTATTGAAGCAAATATAACTGCTATTGATTGAATCGTTCTAAAATTCTTTGTACAGTTTTCATTATTACTGTTGGGGGGTTGTTTGTTTGTTTGTTTTACATTTTAAATTAAAAAATATCACTCCCAGCATGAGAAAATTTGATTTTTCATTCTTGCCATACTTGCAATAGCTGTTTCTGCCTTGTGGCTAAGTTTGGTCCCAGTGTTGACTGTGATCTACCTTCAGATCCGAGAAACTGATGATTCTCTTCCTCATTTCCACCTTCATTATCACAGTCCCATGGGATGGGCTGAACCCTCAGCAATGTGACAGGGGTGAAGATCACACATGCATACTTTGTCACACACTTTGGCTTGAAAGAAGGCATCATCCTACTTTCATTCTGCTGCAGTGCTGGTTTCATGCACAGCTCATAATATTGAAAGACTGATCCAAAGTCTGTGAAGTCAATGGAAATTTTTCAGTGGGTTTTGAACCAGACAGGAGGGAAGTACTTCACCATCACTGTTAGAAACTCACTTCCATCTCAGTTGCTTGAGGTCACTTCGCATGGCACTCATTAACAATTTGGGTAGGATTTTCGTAATCCTAATATTATCCCACCAAAGTTAGTGGTAGGTTTCCTATTTTTGCAGGAGCAAACCTAAGACAAATATTAGGTGGGGTTTTTTTTAAAATCCACTCATTGCTGACAGTCATCAGCAAGGGTAATGGATAATGCATTGGAGAGAATGACTGCCTCTCATTTCTGGAAACAGTGGGCCATATTATCTGCTGTGTGTGCCTTATGTAGTGATCTACTTCAGCAGATAAAAGACTTACTGCTTAAGTACTCTTGGTCCAGCACTTTTCACAATCTTTAAGCTTACTTTTTAAAATACAAGCATTAAAAACTGGTTTAGAATGACAGGAGAGTCTCTAAACAGAGGTAGGTCAGCATTTCGAGAAAAAAAAATAATGTAGTGTAGCTTTCTCTGAAAGAGAGGAAGAAACAACACCACAGCCAAAAAGAAGGTAAAGCAAGCACCTAGGTTCATAAATAAGCAACACAGAATTCTTGTTCCTATGCCCTGTGTTTTAAGCCTATATTCCCAATAGTGGTGTTTTGTTAAACTATCAAATGTCTACCCTAGTTCACTTTCTAGTAGAATCTATTAGTTTTGTCTACCCACAATTTATCATGTTTGTCTACCAAACTTGAGATTTGGAAAAACATGTTTCATGTCAGATAACAGCCTTGAATACTGGAAGTCTGCAGTAAAACATTGAGGTCTGAATTTTTAAATATATTGTCCAGTACTGTGGGTGAAATTGCCCATAATTAAATGTGTACAGAATTGTGAGTACCGTTAATTACACTTACAATTAGCCCAACTTAGTTGTGATTACACATGTAATCTTAAAGACAGATTGAAACCTGGCTAAAAATTAGAGCCACCATCTCACTCTCCAGATGTCAGATTATTGTCAAACAGTTCATCATTGAATTAAATTAACCATTATTCATATAGATATTTATGGATAAATGTTGGAGAATATCAAGTGGTAAAGAATATTAGAAAGTGTATGGTATTGTACATAAATGTTACATATGTGTTTTATTTGAATTATCAATCAAATGTTGAGAATTAAAGGATTAAAAAAAGGTATTAATCTTTTCCTAATCAGTGGTAAAAATGTGGACACTCCAGATGTTTTACATGTGTATCTAGCAAGGATATTCCATTTATGTGTCTGTCTTGAAAGAATAGAGAAAGATGGGTATGCTACACAGGATGTGGAGACTTTTTAGTGGAAATCAATCTAACCCACTGTTTTTCAATCTCTTCCTTCCCTTCACCCATGTCCTGTCCCTCCCTCCCTCTTGCTAGGGAGTTTTCCAAAGAAAGAGAGAAAGCTAAGGCTCGAGGTGATTTCCAGAAGTTACGGGAAAAACAACAGCTAGAGGAGGATTTGAAGGGATACTTAGACTGGATAACTCAAGCAGAAGACATTGACCCAGAAAATGAAGATGAAGGCATGGATGAGGAGAAGCCTCGAAACAGTAAGCGATTTTCTTCTGTTTCTCCCTCTGTTCTTTTAACAAGAGAGCCTGTGCCCACCTGCTTTAGTGCTGAGAAGGCTTATGAGGAAGAACAAGTTCTTTCTGAGACTCTCACTGTGCTTGTACATTATTCTAGTTTAATGCCTGTAGGAAACTGTGGAAGGGAGAAATACGCGTGCAATAATTGGTATTGTTCTGAAGATCCTCAGTTTCTTGTCTGTGATACTGACGTAAGATCCTGATATTAAACAGAAAAAAGATCAATACTTGCTGTGGAAGTTCACTATTGAGATAAGTTTTAAAATATACACCTGTCTCCTATTCATTTATTTAATTGCAATTCAGTGTTGCAGGCTGCTTACACATGGTTAATTACTTTGAAAGCAAAGGTTTCTAGGCAAAGCAGTGCTACAGTATGGGAGAAGGGCCAAATCAACCCTGTTGTACATTAAGTGGGCCATCTGTAACTCCATTGAAATTGGTGGAATTGTGTTTGCTTTTACCAGGCTGGAATTAAGCTCTCAGACATTTCTTGTAAGGGAATTATCTCTTATGCTTCTGTTCCGGAGATGAGATGATATTTGTGCAAAGTGAGAATTCCCCAACTGTCTCTTCTTATTAGAAATCCTGAAGAAGGAAGGGCTTGAAGAAAGCAGCAATTCCCTACTTTCATTAGCTTTCTTGAATCTTCTCCTTCCACCTCCTCTTTTACCAATACAAGCTGTGTAGCACCCAGCAGTTATCATTGCAGGTTGTGCACTTGGGAAATGTCAGACTTGGAACCTTTAGACAGTTACACAGCTCATGGACACTGGCTCTACTCTTAGATTTCATTACAGAAATGTGTATTTTCCTAGCTTGATTTTGGAAGAGAAGACATGAAACATTTCCCTAGAGATCACCCTTCCTACCAACCAAGCAAAATCCATGCAATGATCCAATCAGAAACATATGTTCTAGTAATAGGAAGATTGGACATGGCAAAGTTGTGTCTCCAGAGTAAAGCAAGATTTCTATCAGATCCTTATGACCTTTTGGGGAGTAAACACTACTGCCTGTTGCTGCCAGAACATTTAAGTTCTTTTAGAAAAAAAAAAAAGTGAGGTCATTAATATTGGGTTGTATTCATGAAACTTAGGTATCTGGACTTGAAGGAGTCATCAGAGTGACTTGCTCAGACTTTCCCCAAATCAGGTTATTTTGATTTTTATGCTGATTTCTTCATAGGGTGTAAGCTTACTTTCACAATTTAATCTCAGTAATCACTCAGAAATGAATTTATTATTCATGTCCAAAATTTACTGCTCTGTGGCATGTAATAAATGGAAGGTGGTATCTGGTGATCCAAATTAATTTATTTGTAGACAGAATTCCCTATTAAAAACAAACAAACAAACAAACAAACAAACAAACAACAAACCACTACTACCATGGGATCTGGTTGGTATATTTATATGACATCTGAGTAGGGAGGCCAAGGACTGGGTTGCACACAACTCCACTGAAGTCACCAGGAGACTTTCCCTTGACTTCAGTGGGAACTGGATCATGTCTGTCACATTTCCTTAGAGACATACCTATTAAAGAAAAGTGCAGCCATAGTGGTAAGGTAGCATGATGAGAACTTGCCTTGGTTACTAGCAGATCTGAAGTTTTTCCTTTTTAATTAACACAAAAAATGATGCTGCTTTGGTAAAGGAGTTGTGGAATATGTCAGATGTAGATTCATTGCATGTGCTGTGGCGTGGGGTCAATCCACATTTGAGCTAACAAGCTCCTTTTATGGGTGGTGATGTTAAGAACTGTAAGATAACATATCTTCAGCTTGCTTTCAGTTCTTCCTGTTCAGTTTAATAAGGTGAGTTTTGTAAGACATGGTTTATAAAATTAGTTCTCTTACATCTGACAAGTTGTCTAGAGTTTCTCACATTCACTGTTAATGACAGAATTACATACTATTAAAAAACTAACTTGTTACCTATTTCTTTTCCAAACTGTTAATGAATACAGTGCCTTCAATGCCATTGGTTCCAATTGTCAGGTCTAAGGGTAGTGGTTGCTGAGTAGTCTCTAGTACACAGCACATTCTCTGTGACGTTGTGGCTTTGGGTCACGTTATCCTTTTTTCTTACGTGACAGACCAGGCTAGGGAACAGATGTCTGTAGTGCCTAGTGTTGAACAGTAGAATTACGCCTCTGTTGAAAGGAATTGCTCAGGATGTGAAGGAAGTTTGTGGACAGATTTTGGCCATGTACTGGGGACAATGGTCATGCTAACCAAAGTCTCTGCACAAAAGAATAGCAGAGACCAAGCAAACAGGTCACTCCATGAAGTTTATTTGCCTATTCTTCTGACATACGTGCCCCATCTAGAGCAGGCTGTTGACAGCAGTATTCTTCTTAGCACCTGTGGCCTGCATCTATGAATGCCAAATTAATTATTCTTCTAGCTTTGGTGTACTATCCAGTGCTGTACCTTGGTTTCCCCACCACAGGCCTCTCTGACTATGGAAGTGAAGGGTCTCTTTGCTGCCATCCTCTCATGAGGAAGCAAACAGCCTCTGGGTACAGATGGTAAAGAGCACCTACCCCACCCCGAAGCCAGTAAAAACACTTGGATGCATGCCCCCACCCAGGAGAGTTGTGGAGCTTATGCTCTGGCCTTTTGTGTTTCATAAATCACATTCATTTTTCTTTTCCAGTAGGCTGTTGTATTTACTTTTGCACAATTGCAGGTACCATATTTTTTAAGCTCTATTGTATTTCTTGATGTTTCTAAATTTCAATCTTTATTCACATGACAAGTGAGAATGTATTTTCAAAGCCAAATAGCTTGCAGACATCCTCTACTAAGATGTCATACCCACTTCATTGGTTGACATGCTGATCTGTCATGTATGTCATGTGGGAAGAAACTCCTGGTATACTTACTGTACCTACCTATGTGATTCCATGTCTTGCTTATCCTACTGCCTACAAACATATCTTCTGCAGAACCATCTCAACCCCCTCAGGTGCTGGAGACTAGTTTACTAACCAGCTCTGACGAGTCCTGTCCGCTCTTCTGAAGCTGAGTCACATTGCAGCTGTGCTGCTCTTGGGGCTTGATAGATCTGCTAGAAAATGGGTGGAATGAACACTGTGTAACAAAATCAAACCAAGTAGAGACCCTTTCCTTAATGGCTTCAGCTTAAGATAATACCACAGAAAAGGTACCATGAGTAAGTGACACGGTGTTTTGTTTGGGTGGTTTGGGGTTGGTTTTTTTTGCTGTCATATCTACTGTGTTGAATGTTTTGGCATTCATGCTAATCACTAGTAGGGTTAAACTGAGGGAGAAAGATGGTATTATTTCTCTTCCAAAAACCATCTACGAAATAAGCTCCAACTATAAGGGACAGATGGCACAGTTGTAAATTCACTGAGGAATCCCTTTGGCTTGAATGCCCCCAAGACATTTGAATCTCACCTACTAGCAGTGCTGAGCTTGCATCACCGAGGCTCCAGTATTTTCTCTGTCTTCCTGTGTTTAGCTCTTGCTGGAAGAGCAGTTACCTCATATGCAGCTTCAGTGTGCTTTTCTCTCAAGTGCTCTTCAAAGCTCACTGCTTTCTGTCTCTAGTACAATGTCCTGAGCTCCAGAATAGTGTTACTGCCCATTTCCAGCACACTTTGTTCAGTGATTAATTAATAATGTTGTCTTTTAAGGTATCAGCCCTGAGCCTTTCAGATAACAATTCACAGAAGTGGACAGGGCAGTTCAGACCTTCTTAAGCTGTTGTTTTAGCTCAATAAACTTTAGGGCTTGCCTTTGCATCAGTTGTATTGTACTGATGCTCAGGGGATGTGGGCTTCCGCCTGAACTCTGACGGTGACTCACACCACTACTTTAAGGAAGTCACATCAGGTTTTCCTTCCTCAGTTTCCCCATGGAGGTTGTTTGGAGGTTTGGGGTTTTTTTTTACAAAGAATATCAGAACAATTCAGAAGTTTAATTAAAATATACTTATTAAACTAGAGTCTCAGCTGATGTAAACTCTGAGATTCAGCAGTTTACACCATCTGGGCTTTGACCCAGGTAGTCTACCTAAACTGAATCATCCCAGACACAAAGAACATATGTTTCCAGTCTCTTCTCTGTCCTTGGCTGCAGAGGCAGGTTTTGTTGCCTTCTTACTTTGTAGAGAGGGCTGCCTGCCTGTCAGCATGGGAACTGCCTCCTGTAAAACAAAGAACACAAGGTGGAAGGGAAGAGAAATTCACTTGCATCACCATTTGGTTTGACTGTCTGTGCTAGTCCTTAGGGCATCATCAGTCATATTTTATATATGCAACTGCTTTCCTGAAGCTGTCAAACCCTGCCCTAAGTCTCACTGGGTGTTTACAGCCCTTAATTAAATGGTCAACGAGTCCAAGGACTACAACAGCAAGGATCTTAGTGGAGGAAAGGGTAAGAAAGGAAGATAAAAGCAGTCAGATTTGGACAATCTGTGCAACCTTTAGCTGATGCTCTCCATAGTAGAGGTCTTCACATTCTTCTGAGGCAGTTTGTTGCCAGTCATCTCTCACATGCATTGAGAGGCATTCACAGAGCAGGCTGAACTAGTTCTCTGTGGTTTGGGAAGTACATGTTTAAGGTAGTTTTTCCTTCTTGTTTGCAAACATGATTTTGCCATTACGGCAGATGTGAGGTGGGAAATGTGAAAAGACTTCTGGGGGCTGTTTGTGTTGATGGTTTTCTTCTATGCTCTTCCCTGACGGGCCTTCCGCATGGGAAGAAAACATTAATTTGACAGAGGAGAGAAACACATGTCGTGGCACAAAACAACTACTAAATTTCAAAATTACATGATAGCAAAGACAACCATCCCTCCTGTTGCCACAGTAACTGGGAATTTGCCCTTTTTTTTTGCTTCCTGAGAGTGGTCTGGAATGCAGCTGTGTTGCTGTGGGCAGATGCAGGAAACCTCAATCCAACCCAGATTCTCCTCCTTTTGAAA